AATACTTTTGTTATATATTCATGTGTATTTCCCTTTCTTTGTTTTTTTGGTCACACTAACTTGTTTTTCATTAGAATATTTAAAAAAATCAGCCCTTGATGTAACTTAGCACAAATTCCTGCTGATTTAACCTAAGCATTTCTTAAGAACTTCCATTTCTCTTCACCCTCATCAGTATCACACTTGTCTAAGCTACCATCAACCTTTGCATGGCAGCTGTGAAAGCCGCCGAACAGCACCGCAGCATCTCTCCCTGATTTTCCTCCAGTCCATTCTCCATATTGCAGGCAGGATGATCTTTACAATAACACACATTTCACTCCATTTCTACCCTGGCTTGAAACATTTCAATGAGTTTCAGTTATGTACCCAGAAGGAAAAAGGCAAAGCTCCAAAACAGCCTACAGATTTCTGCATAGTCAGCACACCACTGGCCTCTGATCTCTGGCCCATCTCACTCCATGCTCCCCAACCACTCTCCCCATTTCATCCACACTGGGTTTCTTCCAGTCACTGTACTCACCATGCTTCCTTATTTCAGTGAGCTTTTCTCTGTCTGGAATGTTCGTCCTGCCCTCTTTGGTTAGATAATTCCTACTTTTCCTAATACTGTAACTCAAACATTGTGTCCTCAGAGAAACTTTTCACTAGGTCAAAGCCCCTAAAATAGTTTAGAATAGGCACCATGTACTTCTTCCCTTCATGTGTCATAATCATAGTTTTCCCTTTTCCGGTGGAATGACTTATTTCTGTCACTCTGCCTCACCAGAGGATAAATTCCCCGAGGGCACACTGCCAGTAAAGTGACACCCACTTTACCCCCTGGACTTAGTAGAGAACCTGGCACATAATGAACACACAATAACTTTTTGTTAAAATTAATGAATGATATTGACAAATCTGTGAAAATGTGTGATGAGATACTATGGTATGTATGGTGAACTCTTGAATGTGAAAATATACGTTTTTCAGTTCTTGACTGATTCTTCTCCCTCTTTCCCTCTGTTTTCATATTCTGACACTCCTAATAACTTTTTACTGAATCTTTTGGAATTCATTCTCTAAATTTCTTATCTTTTCCCTATGATTTTAGATCTTTGTATTTTGGTTACTTCCTGGGAGAATTATTTGACTTTATCTTCCTAATAATTGATTTTTTATTAGCTATAGGTTTCTAATATGTAAGCATGCTCTGTATTCCTGTGGGTTTCTTAAATTTTTTAGAAATAACTATTAGCTCCTTCAGAGCTTTCTCCTACTAGGTACACTGTCTCTGTTTTCTCTGAGTTTCATTTTCTATTGATTTGGTTTGGTTTCAGTATTTTCTGTTGGAGTCTTCTCTCAACTGTTTGTTATTTTGGTTTATTCATATTTAAGAGATAATAATGGTCAGATTAGAGGTTCTGCATGCATGGGTGCATTTTGTTTAATGGAATGCAGCCAATTTGTTGAGATATCCCCAGATGTCAATAACCATATGTCTTTCTTGAGGTGGAAATATATACATAATTTCTCCAGGAAATAATCTGTTGAGTAACTTTACTCTACCACCAACGTTGTGCCAAGACACATAATCCCAAAATGTACAAGAGGCCTGGATGGTCTCACCATTCAGTATGTGGGTTTTTATAAATCCCTTTCTAGTATGGCACCTCTTACTTATATTCTGCTATGCCAGCTGCCCCTGGCCAGGAATCTCTTGGTTCAGTTTCCGCAAACAAGAAACCTCCAGATTCCTCCCAATATCAGTTTCTACTTAGATAGGATGCAAGAGGGGACCAAAATGTCTAATTGATCTTTTTGGACCTCTAAACAATCCCTTATGTTCAGCCTTCAGTCCCTACCTTTGGAAAGTTTAATTACAATTATCACCATCAACTTTCGCAGCAAAGAAGCTGTTTAAAGAACTGATACCATATTTTTCTAATTATTTTATTTTGAGACTGAATGTGCCTTTATGATCAGTAGTCACCTAATGGATCTTTTGTCCCTAGTCCTATGATCACCATATCTATTACAACCACTGTACACACAAGACATTGTACCACATCTTCTATGACAGTACTTCATACTTAAATCAGCTACTTCTCTGACCATAGAAATAATACATGTATTTAAGTTTGAGGAACTCAAGAATTAAAATCACTGTAGCTCTGATATTGTTGTCCCCTTGGGAATCAACGTGAATCATTGAGAAAAAAATCAGACTGGGAACAAAAAGCCCTACATATGAGATCTAGCTCTCTTGAAAATTAGTTTTGTATCTTCAGACAACTCCCTTAACTTTTTTGATCTGCAAAGTGATGAGATTGGATTAGTAATCTTTAAAATCCTTTCTATTTCCAACATCGTAAGGTTGACTAAGCTGATGTGACTGTACTTTGAATAGAAGAATAGATGAAAAAACCTACTATACTTGCAGCAACCCTTTAAGGAGCTTTGACTCTCTAACACTTTCAGTAATTAGTTGCCACGATTAATTACAAAGTCATGTAAAAACAAAAATACCATATAATTAATACTATCAAATAGGATCAAGGGTTTTAAGCTTGTAAAAATTGAGACCCTTTAATTTCTGGCTCTCTTTAATAATTAGTTTAATTTCTTTTTAAATTCTGACAGGGCATTAGTAAAAAGCAGAGCTAGTTTTCTTTCTATAAATGTAGACAAATAAGTTTTTATATTTATACAGTACCTTATAGTTTTCAAAGCATGTGTACCTGCATTTTCTATCTAATTGTCATAATGACCTCAATGAAATCAGTAGAACAGATACTCATTTCCTACATGGTAAGATAAGGAGCTCCTATGTGCCTCAAAGATATTAAGTAGCAAAACCAGGACTTCTACTTCAAGCAAAATTTATATATCTTGATAGTCATACTATCCTTATAAATAATATATCTGAGTGGTTTATTAAAGACCAAAATTAACCAGATTATGAGCTACAAAGTACTGGAAACAGTTGTCTCACCATCTTCATTCTCAATACGTTGAGATTTCAGAAGTAACTTTCACTTCACAACTAAATCAGGAGATTAATTACACTGTTCTGTGTTGGTAGAAGTTACAACCATGCATGTTATGTCTAAACTTTGTTCCACCAAATTTGGAATACAAAGTAACATTTAGGTTTAGTTATTTCATCCATACATATAAACAATCTTTTTCCTTTGTAATTTCCTAGTATCCTAAACCTTAAAGAGTTACTAACCACTTGTTAGGTAGGGTGCTTCATGCAGGTCTGGAACTATTTAAAAGCCTTATCATGACACTCTGTGTACGTGTCCCTCCGTGCCAATAACCATACCCCTTCCTGGAACTGAAAGACCATACCCTTTGTTACTTTGCTTTCGAAGCACACAATCTTCTTGAACTCTCCAGGCAGAATATTCAGTGGGGCATCATCATTCAAACCAGATGTGACCCCTGTACTCAGGACAGAGCGCATGCTTCTCCCTGGAATGAGTCAGTGGAGAACATGTTCCTTCTCAGGAGCTCAAGCTATCAATGTCACAAAAAGGTATTTTGATCCAGAATTCACTGAGGCAAACAATTCATTGAAATGGATCATTAATCCCACCCTTATGAATAATTCCCAACCATAATTTAGATCATTGAAAAAACATGTTCTTTTATAATCAAATGGAGAGTAGGTTAAAAAATGAAAAACTATAATTTGAAATTTTCATCCTGTGAGATTGCCTAACAATAGAGGGAATCTGTTGCCTTACACAACTGAGCTGTCTAGAAATATGACTGATTAAGTGACTTGATACACTCCCTCCAACCACATTACTCAGGACCTCTTTCCCCACTCTTCTGCTGTGAAAGCATTAGCTTAAGGCTTCATACAGTGACTGGCGTGCAGTACACTCTGCCCTGATAGAAGCAAAGTGCCTATAGATTTATAAAATTCACACCCTCATGTCCCAGCAGAAGTTTCCTTCCATCTCATTGGCTCTGTCTGGGCTATTTACTTATCCCTCAGTGAATCTCCACTCCTAGTAATTTGGCCATTCCTGAGTTCAATTCAACCACACTCTAATCATACTGATTTAGATGAGTATTTTTCAAACTGTAGATATCTCATTTGTTGGCCATACACTCAATACAAGGCCCTGCAAGCCTTTTAAGAATAGACTAATATAGAATAGAAATAGAAATATCAGAGTGCATCACCATTAGTAACATTTTTGTTGACATACAGTTTAATATAAATGTATATGAGTTTGATGGGTGGTGATATATATTTTTACTCTTTTTCTGTGAGTTACAAAAGACAGTTTAAAAGGTAGTACTTAGAATAAGATAACCTTCCCAGGAAAATCAGTGTGTGGATTGGAAATGGAAATGGAGGCTGGATAGCAGCCAAAAGATAAATATTTGCTATGTGGTATTTATTTGCTGCCCATTGATTTATAATTTTTCTAACACGCAAATTATTTGCTCTTTTTGTACTATCTGTAGTTTAGTAAAGTAAGAGCAATAGCCATTTGACAAATGTTTTCTGTGAGTTTGGGAAGGCAGTATTTTTTAAAGGCCATTTAAATTTTTCATCTCTGCCACCCTGAATAAAATGTATATTTACTCATCTCACAAGCTTATTCCACTTCTGCCATGAGGTAATCTTTATTTAGCTCTAAAGTCTCCTGTGTTCCCAAGTTATTTCTTAATAATTTCAGTCTTTTATTTTGTGCTGGTTCATTTCATTTTAATCTAGAGACTTCCCTACAACCAGTCTCTGGATGGCATCTGGAAGGAACTCTGGATGTACAAAGAAGGAATAATGTAAGAAAGAGAGGACAGACCAGTGATCAGGAGGTCTAACGCCAGCCCCAGCCCTCACAACTAGCCCTAGACATTGGGCCTCCACATTCTCTGTGGCTTACTACCTTGAAATATTAAAAGGACAAAGTTGGGAAAGTGACTCCTAATAGAACTCAGATCTTTACAAGGCCTATTTGGATAACAGTAAGTTGAATAGGGTTTTTCAGTGTTGGTAGCCGTACCTGCCGCACCCAAAAATGGCGCCCAGCTTGAGAAAAAGTTGTAGGTAAAACAAAGACTACTTCTGGACAATCCCGCCACTTCCTGGCCGCATACCACATGCTAATTAGACCTTCCCCTGCTAACCAATTGGTGTATCATAGCAGCTATGCTAATAAAGCATCACAAGCAGCGCGCAATCAGCTTAGAGCATGAGAACTATATAGCTAGCCCAGTCTTCCCCTTTGGGTCTTTCCCTTGATGATTGTATCACAAAAGAGCTGAAGATTAAAGCTTTCTGCAGAAGAATCCTGCTGTTGTTGCGTGCTGTTCTTGCTGGCGAGGACGGGGCGCGCGACAGGTGGTGCCGAAACCCGGGACTCAGAACATCACCGGCACAGGGAGGACCCTTCAGACATCTGGAGAGGATTCAGAACTGCAGGACGGAAGAAAGCCCGGAGAGGTAAGTTCCGAGAGACGCGCTTTTAAGGGTGGCGGCTGATGGTTCTCTGTAGATAAAGAGACACCATGGGGAATGCACCATCATTAGTTTCAGCCTTACAGGCAGTTCTCAAGGAAAGGAATTTGAAAGTTTCCACCAAAGTTTTAGGCTCCTTTGTAAAAGAAGTAGACCGAGTTGCCCCTTGGTTTATCTGTTCAGGGTCCCTCTCCATCCCGAGCTGGGACAAGTTAGGGAAAGATCTCGATCGAGAAGAAGAAGAGGGACAATTGAGAGGAGGCACTAGACCGCTATGGAAACTGATTAGAGCTTGCCTACAAGATGAGAAATGTGAAAAGGTGATAAAAGCAGGTCAGAGAGCTTTGTCCGACATCCAAGAAAGTATGTCAGAAACGGAACGGGAGACAGAGCTGGCTCGCGGCCGAAAGAGGACCGCTAAAACAAAAGTTAAAAATCCCCAGAGTGAGGGAGGGAGCCCGTCTAGGGCAAAAGCGAAAGAGCCCCGAGAAGCAGGTGACGACCGCCTCGGAGAAAATAGCAAATACCCCTGGAAAGAGTTGAGGGAACTCCAACTTTCCAATAGGGAGTCAGAAGATGAATTAATGTCCCCGGAAGAGGAGAAAGAGACCAGAGTCTCTAGAACTGCTAAGTGCAAAAGTACAGATGTCAGCAAAACGGAGACGCAAACTAAAGGGAAAATGAAAGTGAGACGCTCCTCATCGCCCTTAGCCCCGCCGCCCTATGCGAACGGCGCACATTCCTTCTGTGCTCCAGAGGATTTAAGGGCAATTAGACGGATGTTCCCCGTAATCGAAGACAATGGAGCACGTGCCCATCAACCCCTTACCCATAAAGAGGTTAAAGACCTCGCAGAGGCTGTTCGGACCTATGGAGTCAGTGCTAATTACACCCTAGCGCAGATTGAAAGGCTGGCGGAATCAGCTATGACACCCTCAGACTGGCAATATGTAGCAAAAGCTTGTCTTTCTAGCATGGGACAGTATATAGAGTGGAAGGCACTATGGCATGATATAAGCATGACCCAGGCGCGTGATAACGCTGCTGCGGGGGAACCCGCGTGTCATTGGTCCTATGATATGTTGACAGGCCAGGGACAGTGGGTAGCCAACCAGATCGCTTTTCCTGTACCATTGTACACACAGATAAATGCGTGTGCTACTAAGGCATGGAAGGCCCTCACTAATAAAGGACAAGTGTCAGGTAATTTAACAAAAATAATTCAGGGACCAAGCGAGCCATTTTCAGACTTCGTCGCTCGCATGATGGAAGCTGCAGGCCGAGTGTTTGGAGATCAAGAACAGGCCATGCCCCTTGTCCAACAACTAGTGTTTGAACAGTGCACCAGAGAATGCAGACAGGCAATTACCCCCTGGAAGCAGAAAGGATTGTCTGCTTGGTTGAAAGCTTGCAGGGAGGTAGGAGGGCCCCTCACCAATGCAGGCCTAGCTGCCGCTATATTACAGAGTCATAGACAAGCAAAAACCCTTAATAAGAATGTTAAGTGTTTTCAATGTGGACAACTAGGTCATATGAAGAGAGACTGTAGAGGCCCAAATTTCGAACAGACGGCCCAGAAAACCCCTGGAGTGTGCCCGAGATATAAGAAAGGCAGACATTGGGCTAAGGAATGCCGATCTGTTAAAGACATAGAAGGGAAACCCTTAGAGTCACCAAAAAACTCCCAGAGGGGCCCCCGCCGCCAGGGCCCGCAAATATATGGGGCAGCCAGCACACCAGTGTCCTTCAGGAGCAGCACAGCCCCCCAAGGAGAGCCACTCCAGGTTCCGCGGGATTGGACATCCGTGCCACCACCAGAATAGTGTTAACTCCACAGATGGGAGTTCAACCCATCCCCTCAGACTTTAAAGGCCCCTTACCACCAGATACAGTAGGGTTGCTTTTGGGGCGCTCTTCTGCTACCTTGAAAGGCCTTGTAGTCCACCCCGGGGTTATTGATCAAGACTATGAAGGACAGGTAAAAATCATGTGTTCAGCCCCCAGGGGAATCTACCCTATATCCCCAGGAGACCGCGTAGCCCAACTCTTAGTGTTGCCTAGTCTCCATGCCAATTATCCAGCTACCACCACGGAGAGAGGAGAAAAGGGCTTTGGTTCCTCTAATTATAACTCAGCCTTTATAGTATTAGATTTGGCAGACAGACCAAAATTGACCCTCAAAATAGAAGAAAAGAGTTTTGAAGGGATCCTAGACACTGGAGCAGATAAAAGTATTATCTCTGCAAACTGGTGGCCCTCCAAATGGCCTGTAACCCAGTCCTCACACTCTTTACAAGGTTTAGGATATGAGTCTAGTCCTACCATTAGTGCCAAACCATTGAGATGGCAGGCGCCTGAAGGGCAAAAAGGTACAGTTACCCCTTATGTGCTCCCACTACCAGTCAATTTGTGGGGGAGAGATGTCATGCAGAGCCTAGGCCTTAAACTTATTAATGAATACTCCACCCCTGCCCAAGGCATGATGATGGATATGGGATATATTCCTGGTAAAGGACTAGGGAAACACCAACAGGGACGCATAGAGCCTATCCTTCCCAAAGTAAAAAATGACCGTCATGGCCTGGGTTTTTCCTAGGGGCCATTGAAGACGCCATGCCCATACCTTGGCTTACAGAGGAGGCCGTATGGGTTCCTCAGTGGCCCCTATCCTCTGAGAAATTAGAAGCAGCTCACCATTTAGTACAAGAACAGCTCCAATTAGGACATTTAGAACCCTCTGTGTCTCCATGGAATACGCCCATATTTATAATCAGAAAAAGGTCAGGATCATGGAGATTGCTTCATGACTTGAGAGCAGTAAATGCTCAAATGAGGCTGTTTGGACCTGTCCAGCGAGGACTGCCACTTCTCTCTGCTCTACCCAAAGAATGGAAAGTAATCATAATAGACATCAAAGATTGTTTCTTTTCCATACGCCTAAACACCAAAGATAAAGAAAGGTTTGCATTCACCCTGCCAGCTATTAACCATGAGCAACCAGACGCCAGATTTCAGTGGAAAGTCCTCCCTCAAGGGATGGCAAATAGCCCCACCATATGTCAACTGTATGTTCAGCAAGCGCTAGCACCAATTCGCGAAAACTACCCCAAATTGAAAATTATTCACTATATGGATGATATCCTTCTCTGCTCCCCACAATCAGCAGAAGTAGAAGAGGCCTATGTGAAGCTCACTAAATCCCTAGAGACTTGGGGACTGAATATAGCCAGTGAGAAAGTTCAAAAATCTAGTGTTAGCAAATTCCTAGGAGCCACCATTTATACAGATGTAATTTGCCCCCAAAAGCTTAAGATAAGACATGATCAGCTGCGAACTTTGAATGATTTCCAGAAACTCCTAGGAGACATTAATTGGTTGCGGCCATTTTTAAGGGTACCTACCACTGACTTGAAACCACTGTTTAAAATCCTAGAAGGAGACTCACAACTAACATCTCCACGCTCCCTTACACCTGAGGCAGTGCAAGCTATCCATAAGGTAGAACAGGCCTTAATGACAGCACAATTGAATAGGATACAATTAAATGAACCCTTTGAATTATGCATCCTTCCTACTCCGGGACTGCCAACTGCAGTTTTGTGGCAACGAGGGCCACTGCTCTGGATCCATCCCCAAGCCTCTCAGGCTAGAACGATAGAATACTACCCAGCTGCCATAGCCAATCTCGCTCTAAGGGGAGTAAAAAACTCATTTACATATTTTGGGAAAGCTCCAGCAACAATCATAACCCCTTACAATATGGAGCAGATACAAATATTATGTGCTATGAATGATGATTGGGCCATACTTGCTTATAGCTTCTCAGGAACCTTTGATAATCATTTCCCAAAACATCCCCTCATCAATTTTGCTAGAAATCATCCCCTGGTGTTCCCTCGAGTCACTAGCTTAACCCCGCTACCACATGGAAAGACAGTCTACACAGATGGGTCCAAGACAGGTACAGGCGCCTATGTCCATGATGGCGAAGTTGTAACGAAAAACTATACACCCAATACTCCACAGATAGTAGAATGTCATATAGTTTTGGAAGTACTACAAACCTTTCATGAACCTTTAAATATTGTGTCAGACTCTAGTTATGTTGTTAATGCAGTTAATTCCCTAGAAGTAGCAGGACTGATCAAAGCATCTAGTTCAGTAGCTACCCTGTTCAAACAAATACAATCACAATTACTCCTTAGACGTTCTCCTTTATATATGACTCACATTAGAGCACATTCAGGCCTTCCCGGGCCTATGACCCAAGGCAACCACTTAGCAGACATTGCAACTAGAAGTATAGCTTTCCCTCTGCTAGATCCTGTCGCCACAGCTTCAAAATTCCACTCACAATTTCATGTCACTGCCGATACGCTGCGCAAGCGGTTTAGCATAACCAGAGCCGAAGCTAGGAACATTGTTCTTAGCTGCCAACACTGCTGCAGTTTTCTTCCCACACCTCATGTTGGGATCAATCCTAGAGGTATTAAGCCTTTACAGGTTTGGCAAATGGACGTAACACATATTTCTTCCTTTGGGAAGCTGAAATATGTACATGTATCTGTAGATACTTGTTCGGGAGTCATATTTGCCTCCCCATTGTCTGGAGAGAAAGCTTCCCATGTCATTCACCACTGTCTTGAGGCTTGGAGCGCATGGGGGTTACCCCAAATCCTCAAAACAGACAATGGTCCCGCCTATACTTCTGCCAAATTTGCTCAATTTTGTCATCACATGGGAATTAAACATATCACCGGTCTTCCTTACAATCCACAAAGTCAAGGAATTGTGGAGCGCGCGAACCGCACTCTCAAATCCTATCTAATTAAACAAAAAGGGGGAGTTGAGGACATACCCCCCACACCCAAAACAGCTATAGCCCTAGCACTCTTCACTCTCAATTTTTTGAACCTGGATACTCAAGGCCGTACAGCGGCAGACCGCCATAATCAGTGGCCAAAAGACCCACAAGAACTGGTAAAATGGAAGGATGTATTATCTAACCAATGGAAAGGCCCGGATCCAATTATAATAAGATCCAGGGGAGCTGTGTGTGTTTTCCCCCAGGGTGAAGAAAACCCCTTCTGGATCCCGGAACGCCTGACCAGGAAAGTCCTGAACAAAGGAGATGGCGTCTCTGTGCCTGTGGATCCTGATCTTGTCGATGGGAATCCTGACTCAGGGAGTACTGAGATGGGGAATATTGTCAGTCTTCCCTAAGCCCATGCCTGTTCGCTATAATGCAGCAGTTTTTCCACGCTTTTTTACTACTAACTCTAGCATGAACCTGCCTTATTTGCCATTAGATTCCCTAGCAGCTTCTTTAGGAGAAAACCGAACCTTTGAAACCGATGGATCTTTGTGCTTCACCACTCGTAACCACTCAAATTGCCTGTCCCTTAAACAGCATATGTACGGGTGGTTTAGCCGTGATAGGAAATCGGGTGAATTTAGTCAGTCCTTTCGTGAGAATAAGACCTACACTAATGCAGTAGTAAGCCTAAAGGTCCTTTGGATTAATGGTACATTTATGAAACCTCCTATTAAGCAGATTAACTATAGCAACATATTCTTCCCTTACCGTCCCCGTCAACCCAAATATGCTCCCCATTGTGTGGGAGATTATGAGGGAGAACAATGGCCCTGGACTGATTGCCAGTCACATGCTACAACCTGGGCAGATAAGGGACACAAATTTTCCTTGTCCCCAGATATGGAGGAAATTTCCGGCAGTGTTTATAGAAGGGTGGCAGAAGGAGGAGAGTTCCAACAAGATGTAGGCAGGAACCCCTTCGATAAATGGCTGCTGTGTGGAGTTAATGGTTCATGTTCAGACCTTTCTCCCTTTATTGTCCTACAAGGGGGAGGGATCGGGATGTCTGATAGTTCCTGTACCTACGAAACTACAAGCCCAGCCTTAAATGGCAAGACTGTATACCAGGTGAATAAGACTACTTATAATATTTCATGTCAAAGAGTTGCACCAGCCCCTGGCCAATATCCACCTACTCCGGTATGCGTGTATCCCCCATTTCTATTTATCTTATCCAATAACAGTTTTGACTCTTGCTCCAATGACACTTGTTTCTTGTCTCAGTGCTGGAATATAACTGTCCATTCCAATGCTTTAGTGGCCCGCATTCCTCGCTGGGTCCCTGTCCCAGTAGATTCACCTGATTCCATGACCTTGTTTCGTGAGAAACGTGACTTTGGTGTCACTGCTGCCATAGTGGCCTTAATATCTCTGGCTGCAGTGGCTGCCACTGCAGCTGCCATAGCCTTGGACACCTCTGTTAAAGCAGCTGCAGAATTGAATAATCTTGCGGATTCAGTAGCCACTGCTCTGGACCGCCAATCCTCACTTGATGGAAAGATGAAAGGAGGAATTATGGTCCTCAATCAGCGGGTAGATCTAGTGGAAGAGCAACTAGATGTGCTCTGGCAGTTAGCCCAATTGGGATGTGAGCGAAAGTTTCGCGCTCTCTGCATTACTAGCATACAATATGAAAACTTTACGCGAGCAGCTAATCTGTCACGAAGCCTGTCCCAATATCTTTCAGGGAACTGGTCCCAAGACTTTGATGGAACGTTAGAAGAGCTACGGCAAGAAATAACCCACATCAACTCCACCCGGCTAGATATCTCCGTAGCAAAAGGACTCTCTTCCTGGTTCCACAGAGCTCTCTCCCACGTTAAAGAGTGGGCGGGCATGGCTGGGATGGGTGTATTCATGCTTGGAGGTCTCATGCTCCTACTCTGGTTGTTATGCAGGCTTCGTGCCCAACACAGGCAAGATAAAGTGATCCTTGCTCAAGCCTTGATGGCGGTAGATATTGGCGCCTCTCCCCAAGTATGGCTCAATATGCTCAACAAAGAAGCTCAGCTTTAGCTTGAGGTAGCCCTTGCACCCTGAGCCTTTGTGGCATTGCACCAGGCTAAGGTACCTGTTCGCTTACCCGAAGCTTCTCATACGAAACTCGGTACAAGAGGGTCACTGCACAGGCCCAAGCCCGTTGTACCGGGCGGTCCCACCGTCAGCTAGAGGGTGCGAGGCACTGCACTGCAAGAGGTCATGGGCCCCTCTGTGAGACATGCCTGATTGCATGGGGGTGGATGTCTACAAACCCCTCTCCGAAAATAGGACATCAAATGTTTCTGGAGATCAGGCCTCTATCTCCACCTCAGCTGACAAGTTCCGCCCCGAGTTTCAACAAAACAAAAAAGGGGGAGCTGTTGGTAGCCGTACCTGCCGCACCCAAAAATGGCGCCCAGCTTGAGAAAAAGTTGTAGGTAAAACAAAGACTACTTCTGGACAATCCCGCCACTTCCTGGCCGCATACCACATGCTAATTAGACCTTCCCCTGCTAACCAATTGGTGTATCATAGCAGCTATGCTAATAAAGCATCACAAGCAGCGCGCAATCAGCTTAGAGCATGAGAACTATATAGCTAGCCCAGTCTTCCCCTTTGGGTCTTTCCCTTGATGATTGTATCACAAAAGAGCTGAAGATTAAAGCTTTCTGCAGAAGAATCCTGCTGTTGTTGCGTGCTGTTCTTGCCGGCGAGGACGGGGCGCGCGACATTTCAGCTGTTAAGGAAATAAATATAGCACCTTTTATTTCTGTATTACCAGATCATAGCATAGTAGGAGGAAAGAAGTCTTCTGATGAATGGCCATAAAGGAACATCAGCTACATAAGGCAAAAAAATATCCAACTAGAGGAGAGATACAATAGGCCAATGAAAAAGAAAGATACTGTCACAACATACTCAACCTAAGACCATTCCTTCTTCCTTCCCAGTACTGTACCTTTGTCATGCCCCTGAATTCTTCATATTTGTTGGTTTTTAATTCTCTAGGCTATTTCCCAGACCTATCTTTATTTCCTCTTCCCAGGTGGTAAGCATATGATCTGGGACCCGAAGTCCAAGAGGTGATGGAGGCAGAGAGGTAGAGCCTGTCTCACTAGTTCTGTAACCTTTGCCAAGTTACTTAAATCCTGTTTCAATAAAATAGTGTTATATCTGTTAAATGAGTTAGCAGGTATAGGATTTAGCATATTGTCTGGGTCTTAGTAGGTTCTCAAAAAGTGAGAAGAAATATCAATAAACCTGTGGTAAATAACATTTAATTTCATCAGTAATAAAATAAATCCAATATAACGTGATAATATACTACTTTTTACCAGCCAGATTAGTGAAGATAAATGACAGTGTCTTCTCTCTGCCCAGTTCTAAGCTATGTATTGTGATGCATACTAACCTAAGCAATAAAGTAGCTATCCTTAGAAAATGCATAAACTTACTGGGAAGATAAGATTTCATCTCAGAGTAGCAAAGAATAGAAACCTAGAAAATAAGTGGCAAATTATGAAATACAGATCAACAGGTACAGAAATAGAAACAAGGAAAATGGACTGAATAATCAGAAAAAATCTCACATATCAGCTGAAATCTACTGTAGTCTTCCACAGAGATATCCCTGTTTCTACTGCTTCTAAATAAACCAAGATAAAACTCTACCATGTATTTCTAAATTCTCAGAAGCTTATAGATAGAAAATAAACAAGGAAATGGTGTTTGTAGAACTTTACAAAGCTCCTGCCAGTGTAATCACTCCAGGCAATACTGTCCTGAAGTCCCCTCCAACTGCAGCTAAAGGACTAGTCCTTGCAGGACAATGCACATGGGTCACTGACCATTTGCAGCTGTGAATGCAAAAGCCCCTTCTGCTGCACATCCTATTTGTGGCTCTCACATTTCAGGAGTGGAGGCCTCAGCCAACTCTAAAAGGAAGTTGTAAAGCTGGAATGACCCTTCAGAGTAAACCTGAGTTAAAGAGATAAGACTAACATTTTATATCCCATATAGACTAGTCATTGGATACTAGACACCCTAGAAATGGATTGTGACCTTGGGTGATTGCTTCTCAGCAGAAGCATATTCTGTAGAAGTATGACAGCTGAGGTCTTTCTGCTTTTGGTACTCTTAGCAACTGGAAAGTAATTCCTTCAATCCTGAAGTGGAAATCTGGGTGTCCCATGCCATTAATACTGCATCACCC